GCACCACCAGAGTTAATCATGTACTTCGAACCCCTTTATCCATTGTACGAACAACTTTAGTACAAAGACAGATGACAATGCTAAAGTTCAATTGGTCCAGCGTTACACTCTGCATCACGCCGAAAAAGAGAAAAAAGAAAACAGGTATCATCAACAAATTTTGCATTAATGTTCCATGTATAGTGCTGTGTCCCTGCTTCAATTTCCTGTTGCGCATTTAGACACATCAAAACACATCCTTGATGATTCAATCCTCATTTATTCTATCCATTCAAACTACAAACTCCAGTTTATAGTAAACAATAAACTTCAATCCAGTGTCACCCTTAAACAAAACATTTTGCTTCCTAAATTAATTCCTACTTCCTTCCTAACCTTTTTTTAGTGCCTACTTGCCTTCTAGGCTGAGCTCGTCACATGGGACTTGCCTAGTGCAGTTTGCTCTCCTGTGCAGTTTGTGAGCTATTGCATACGAGTGGTTGGGGTTCCCTTATCATTGAAAAAGAGAGCATTTTTCCCCTGTTCCTGCGAGACTAAAATATGAACCAAAAGAAGAAGTACTAGGACTACAACCTCAGGGGTCGTTTGGTAGCTAGATAAGAAGATTTGTATAACTAATCCCTACATAATTAATATTTACATAAAATAATATATAGATTCACTCATAACTAATTCCTGCATTACTAATATCTGCATAACTCTAACCAGCTACCAAACCACCTCATAAAGTTCTAACGCAAACACATAAAACTTGTAATAGGAAATAAAACAAACACATAAAGATCACGAACACCAACCTCTTCCCGGTATATAGATGATTCCTTGCCCTATATCTAGTATGGACACGGCCGCGGGATTATACCTTCTGATTATATCTTCACTCACATTGGCTGCTGAAGCCACTGACGTCAAGTTATCCTCCGCCCGCACAGGGTACGTCACAAACAACCCAAAATCCTTCGAAACGTCACTATTCCCACAAGAACAATTCACTACAACACTTAAATTCACAGTATTCGGAATATTATTCTCAGGATAACTATTAAACTTCATCATCCACTGTGCAGTCGTCAAATCAGAGTAGTTCCTCGCCACAAGATCATAAGTATCACCGGATTTAACCCTATACGGGAAAGCATGACCCAATACCTCCCCGTCGTTCAAGCAATCACAACGGAAAGGTATGTTAATTCTTGTCCCGGCGATTACACTATCTTGATTAGGGATATTGTCCCTGTTGTTGTAAGAAACGATATCTGCTATACTGGTGGAGAACATCTCTGAGATTAAAGTGAGATTTGAACCTCGCCAGACATAGAATGAAGCTAAAGCTAAATCGCAGCCTCTGTTACATTGGGAGTTAACTGGTAATGGAACAGAGGATAAGTAAACTAGTATAACGAAAACCCCTAAGCTCAAAACACTTCTTGGCCTGGATTCAAACATGTTTCATGAATAAAGAATGAAAATTTCTGAAATGGGTATGTGGGAAATTGATTCAAGAACGTATTTTTATGGATTTCCTGAAATGGGTATTATGAAATTGATACAAAAATGTATTTTTCTGGAAATTATGAAATGGGTGTGAAGGAAATTGATGCAAGAACGAATTTTTCTGGGAAATTTGAGCTGGGTTTTGGAGGAGTAAGCGTTGACTGAGTGGGTTATTGATAAAGTTGGATTGAAAATTAGTAAAATAATGAATGATTATTGTTCAGATAATTTAATACTTTGGGGAAAACAATGAAATAGAATTGTGTCGGCAGCGCACTTGTCAGGGAATTAAGGAAAGCCGTGTTCTTACAGCTTTTGAAATCTTCTTCTGGTCTCTCATGGCGGCCTTTTAAATGGTGGCAATTCTCAACCGTTAGATCGAAAGTAAATTAAATCGAAGCCCTTGGTGATTCTGATTTGACAAAAGACAAATTCAACGAAGTAGTATTACTGTAGTTTTTGACTTTTTTTTTAATCTTTGAAATTTCATTTTGAACCAACAACAAAAAAAGAAGGTTTAAAAAATTGATGTCAAGTAATTTCAATGGTGTGAAGTATTGTTGTACAAAAAATTGCACAAGTAGATAGTGTAAAAAGAATTTAGCTTTTTTTCTTTTTAAAATGCTGCACGTAGCGATATTAAAAAATAAAATCATTCTAAAAAATGATTTTGTCCTTTTGGTTAAATTTTTTTTTGATATGCCCTTTTAAAATTTTTGACAATTTTTTTTCTACTTTGGCTCCGGACTCGCATATATTGCCTTTATACTAATAGACATGTATGTATCATAATCTTATTCATTGGTCCGACATTTATTAAATACCGGATCGACAAATAAGATTGTGTCACGTGTTCCTATATAGTCTTTTGTTAAAGTGAAGAATATACATGCTCTAGTTCTTTTTAAACGATAGAGTCATCAATATCTCAAAAATATAACAAAGAGTATATATATTTTATTTACGTCACTTCAAATATATTTGTTTTTTCCCTTTTATAGATAACTAGGATCATATTAAAGAAATATGAATAACAATGGATTCTAAATCTAAATTTTAGGCAAAAAGAGCTTGTATGCTACAACTCCAACCATTTCAATTGAATATTGTGTAGAGAAAAATTAGGAAAATAAAAAACAAGCTTTGAGTAGGTCGACCGAACTAGAAACGTGAGGAGAATGAGATAAAAGGAGATAAAAAAATTTAAAAATATATATTAAAATGTTTTTCTTAGATTTCCTGGTACTTATTTCAATTTGAGTTTGTTTGGCATTGCTATTAAAACTTTTTTTAAAATAGCTTTTCAAATAAGTGCATTTGAAGAAATTTTTTTTAGCTAATTCGTTTGAAAAATGATTTTAAATCTTAATGTCTAATGATATCAATTCAAAATCAGTTAAGCCAAATTATCAGTACTAATGATATCAATACAATATATGATTCAGTTAAGTAAAAATTATCAATCTTAATTTTTAATGAATGAAAATATGAGTTGTAATTATTTATGAGAGAATGAATATTTCAAGAATTACTTTGAATTTGAGTATGACCTTATAATTATTTTTGATTTATGACCAATTTATGTAGTTTTTTCAAAAATAAAATTGTGTATTTAATTAATTTTTCTAAAATTATTAAGATTAAGCGGATCAAATTGAGAAAGTCATGACCGAACTCGTTTTTAGCACATTTAAGCCTAAGTCATTTAAATCCAAAATAAATTTGGAGAGATTATAACCCAACATGATTTCTAAATTCCATTTTAATATCTCTCATTTCAACCCAATCTATCAATTTGACATCCTATACTTGCGCCCCATAAGAAATTTACGCCGCCCAAGCTTAGATGAACACCCCAAATATCAAGATTTATGCCTTATAAGTCTTTTACTATCATCACCATTACCATTACTATTCACTCTCCCCCCACCCCACAATGCCTCAGTGGGTTTTTGTTATGCCTCGTCCTCAAATTTGGAACCACCAGTATGTCAAGGGTTCGCTCGAACTCCTTTCATGAACCTCTTTTGATATAAAATCTTATTATTTATATATGACTAAAATTATTTTTTATGTATATATAATAAATATTGAATCTCTTCAATTAATTTATATATTTACTTTGTTTAAATTTTAAACATCGTTATTAAAAATTCTAATTCTACCACTACTCGTCCTGATGCTTATTCCGCCTTTGAAAACTCATCCAATCTTGTTGACTATCATAACAATAGCACCTACCATGGTCTCTAAAGTCTTGTTTAGCACCTATAATTGACCATAAGCCCTCACCAGTGCGAATAATCTACATCTAAAATGATAAGTTTGTGTATGATGCATATTATATCACTTGAAATTAGCATAATTATTTATTTAATTTTATATAAATTTTAATATTTAATTATACATTTTTAAAATAATACGAATATAACGATACAACTAAAAGTTAAAAAGCACATTTATATCCAGAAAATAAAGCAAACGCATAACAAAAGAGCATGAACACTAACCTCTTCCCGGAATATAAATGATCCCTTCTCCGGCACGGAATTTTGCATCCATATCTGAATTATACCTTCGTATTAACTCAGCGCTCACATTCATTGTCGCCGTCACATACGTCAAATTCTCCTCCGATCTCAAAGGATACGTTACAAAAAGCCCAAAATCTTCAGATACATCTCTATCTCCACAAGAACAATTCACTACAACACTCAAATTCACACCAGTCGGAATATTATTCTCCGGGTATCTACTATTAAACCTCCTCAACATATCAATACTCGTCAAATCAGAGTAATTCGACACAATTCTACCATACGTATCCCCTGAATTAACCTCATATTGAAAATCATGCCCTAAAAAATCGCCGTCCTCCAAGCAATCACAGCGAAAAGGTATGTTAATTCTAGTTCCGGCGATTACACTGTCTAGATTTGGGATTGAATTTCTTGTGTTGTAATCCATAATTTCTTGTCTAGTTTCGATATTGAATAAATTTGCGATGTAAGTGAGATCTGTTCCTCGCCATACGTAGAATGAAGCTAAAGCTAAATCGCAACCTCTGTTGCACTGAGAGTTCACTGGTAATGGAGCAGAGGATAAGTAAATTAGTATAAAGAAAAGGGATAAGTTCAACATAAAGTTTTTTGGGTTGGATTCAAACATGGAAAAATTTTGGTACTTACAAGAATTTGATAATTTTGGGGATTTTTAGATGGTTTTTTTTTTATGAAGTTGGATTGAAAATAGTAAAATAATGACTGATTGAATGGGTATATAGTAGTATTGTTTTTTACATTCTAGATATTATACTGCTGCACCTACTCCTCTATTTCATAATATTTGACTAGTATAACTCTAAATAAAATTTGTATTATGGTATTGTTAAATAGAACGAATTTTTAGGTTATGAAAAATGATTATAGTTAATAGTAATGATAAATCAGAAATTAAGTAGGTTGTCTACTATAATTAGATGTTGATCGTAAAAACAGAAGCTTGTAATATAGCTAGATCAAATTCAATAAATGGAGTTCGGTAATAATATTATGAAACTGAACCCATATGGCAGAAAGCAGAAGCGGCGGGTATGTCTGTCCGGGTTCATTCATGTCCAATAAACTTGAGTCATGAATTATTTTTTGAATTTTTAAAACATTGAATAATATAATGCAGTAATGAGAATTGTTTATCCTCATAATCATAGATCTCGCATTCAAACCCTAGATATATGATAAAAAATTTCTTAATATGGAGAGATTCCTCTAAAGGGGCCCGTTTATGTTGTGAGAATATCCTGATAGAATAATAATAAAAATAAAAATCGATTAATAAAATAAAAAGGAAATAAACTATTTTTAGTACATTACTTTCCATTTTGATTTTATTAGTTGTGGAAAACAATGAAGGAATTATGTGATCAGACACTCGGAGGGTAATAAAAGCATCAGCATAACTAATAGGATCGTAATAATTACTAAATACTCTTTTATTCTTGATTATAATTCAGAAATATCGATTTTGAGTTGTCATAATTATGAAATTATCTTTGTTAAAAAGTGTTTTATTCTTTTTGACATGATTTTAGATCTAGTCGAACTCTAAATATCACTGCGGACACCGATTAAAAAAAAACATCAACATGAATGTTTTTTTTTTAAATTATACCGCGGTCATTATATTGTTTAATAATTGCAATTCTAAACCATTGGATTGATAGAAATTTGAATCGAAGCCCTTGATAACTCCACCAAAGTCAAATTTTACTACTTTAATTTCTGATATTTCATTTGAGGAAAATTGATTTTTGCCTCATGTGATTATGTTAGTTGGCTTTTCTCTCCTTCCATCGTTGAATAAAAATGAATAAGAAGTTTATGAAATTATGATAATTAGAACTTTTTTTTTTCTTATGTCATAGTTATAACTATTACAAGAGAAACAGTATCCTATGACTTCGAAAGAAGCAAAGAGATAATGACAAAAAACAAACAAGAAAAAGGGTATAATTAACTCACTCAAAATCTACTTTATAACATATTAAACAACTTCTATTAATCCTTTTTCTACTCCATGACATGTGAATGTTGGCTTGAGAAGTTTAATTTGTTAGACAAAATGAAATTTTGTTCTTTATATTCGTCTTTTTTATCTCATTTGGATAACAATTCTGGCATGTAAAAGAACGTTTTGTAAAAGAATCCAATATAGACAGAATTGATCTTTTAAACCATTTGCAAATTGTAGAGATTTTTAGCTTTATACCTAAGAATTACTTTGAAGATATTATTTTTTCTGTTCATTTTTTTTAATTGGTCAAGAGATCTTAATTCCTTTTAAAATAAAATAAAAATTTGTCAGTCAATTCAGCACCTCAATACACCTAATAAATGTTTCTATTAGATACTTTCAGCTTAAATTTTTAGAAAAACTTTTGTGCATACAGTCAAACGTTCATTACGTAAATAAATTAATCAATTAAGATATATCATGAGCTTTCTTAACTATTTACGTTAGTCTTAAAAAGTTATAAAAACTCGAGTTTGTGCCGATTGAGTTTGATGTATTTAATTAAATACCTCACGCAAACAATTAAAGTAATTTACGAAAGGTGCTTATTTTCCCTTTTTTGTATTTTTTTTTACTGAGGCACTGTTCATGTAATTTACAAAATACACCCTCTAAATATCTTGAATGGCATATTTACTTTTGTTTTCATTTCTCCAAATCAAAGAGTTGGTCCACATAACTTTAGTAAATAATATTTTAAGAACATTTAGAAATTAAAGTTGAAAATGATCAAGCATAAGTCTTTAAACTTACTCCATTTGTCAAGCCTTTGTATTTATTTATTTATTTCATTTATTGATTTGTCTCCTAAAATGACTACTTTTCAAAGTCCTCTAATTTGAAATTTCCGTTCTAACTTTTCACAAAATGGAAAATGTCTAATAATTCCTTTAACTCATTTTTATTTGTTATATTTGAAATTGAAATATCGGTTAAGAAAATAATGATGGATATAACTATTTTATTATACTATTTTTATAATTGAAGTTTAGTATTATGTCTTAAAAATAATTTGGAGAATAGATAATTAGTACTATGCATAAACATAAAGAAATATCCTGATATGTTAAAAGTGACAAGTGAAAGTAAAAATCTATTTTGAATAGTAGACAAGTAAAAATAAGTATAACTTACATAAATTCTATATTGTAATATCTAAATTACATCTTATCCCTATTTTTTTCTATTTTAAAAAAAAAACCCTTGAAATAGAAGTCATACGGATGCATAAGTTTCATGTAGATACATTAAATGTGATGCATTGTAACAACTGGCAATTGCACCTTTCAAGGAAAACAGTTGATTGTTGCGCTTTATTAGGAAAATTAACCTAGAATTGATTCTAGATTCCACGATTCAAGCATAAGTGATTATTATCAATCCATCCCAATTCGCAACAGATTCATGTCTTTCAAAATTCAAATTTTCATCATCTCCATCAAGTCGCCATTGCAGTCCAATTCGTGAAAAATTCAAATTACTCGGCAATATTGGCTGACACAATATAAATCTATATTGATTTTGTTGAGAGAATCAAAAATTTAGTAAGCAAGATGAGTTATGAAGGTTACAAAAGGATGAAATTGTCAATCTCAAAGTCGCCATTTCAGTCAACTTGGAAATCGATGAGCCTAGGTAAATCTTAGAGATTAGATACAAGTAATAACTCATCTCCATTGAAAACTAAAAACAATAAGGGTGTAAAACTTCATTTGATGGTGAAAAAGACGAGCCTGGACTTGCAATGTATCCTCTATGTATTGATACAACGGAGAAGATTGGTGGAGAGACACATAACTTTGATAAAGGTATCTAATAGAAAAAGGTATGATATTTTTTTTTTAATCTCTATCTCTAATCTTGTATGATACATTGCTATTGTTATTATTAGCAGATGTATTATGTTGATAATTATTTTTTGCTTTTGATGATTATATGATATTGATAAGATATTCATAACATATTAGTTGTAAATTGTCAATAGTATAAAATTAATTCTATACCTAGTATTTCTACAGATTTTTTGGTGGTACACCATAAATCATTTTGAGAGAATGTGTATATTTTTGTTAAGCATGAAATAACAGTATAAAATGTAATTAATTGTATGTGATACATACTTCAAAAAGTAAGAATTAACATGTATCAGATACATTTTGTATCTCTATGTGAGAGTAACACTAATTTCTATAACGTGTATCAGACTAGTGATGTGAATATGATACATACAACCAATGTAATAGTTTAGATGTGCCAAGTAGTTATAACAATCATTATTACGAATGATACATCAATGTATATCATTCGTTGAGATATTGTGAATCATATTACTGTTATATATTTCAAATATATCTGGTAGATGCATTAATATGGTAAAAAAATGTATAACTATGTGTTAATGTACTTTATGAATGATTGTGGCTTAAGCATGAATGCTTCAGAATATTTGCTGACTGTTTTTTCGAATGTTTACAGGTTGTTTCATCATCTGAATTTAGTGCATGATCGACAATGACTCTCAAAATTTCTCTTCGCATCGCTGCTGCCTTTATGACGCTTTCCTCCTCTATCAACATTGACCATATACATGAATACTAAATTTCAAATTCGAAATCTCTCTTATTCTGCAAAATAGAGAACACAACATTGATATAGCAACTGAATATATTTAAATGTATCAACTTTTATGTAGTTATGTATCATGCCCATAAAATTGTGCGTGATACGTTACTATTTATAACTTTAACTTTAGGGTAAAAAGATTCGATAATGAAATATATTAAATTACATGTATTGTATTCTGTAATCTGATTCTTTAATTTGTGATCTCAAGATGGATATATTATTTATGATATATAATATTTTAAATATATTTTAGTATATTGATAAGTATTGTAATTCTACATGATACATTAAAGTAGTAAAGATTGCTCATAAGGTGTTTGATTTTAAATCGATATATTACTATTTGATTTTAAATAGATACATCAATTGAAAAATTGTTACAGACTAGCATTATTCAAAGTTTAAAATGCTTCTTCCCATTCTTTCCAAAAACTCTCAATTTTTAAATTAAATTTATCGACAAATTGTACTAACACAATATGAACTCGTCGATCTTGTCAAGACATTTCAAAATATGGAAAGTTAGGTGAGTTATGAACAATACAAAAATGATAAAAGTGTTGTTGGTCAAGATATCGATACATTACTATTTGATTTTAGATAGATACATTATTGTTGGATTTTAGAACAATGCATTAATGGATAAATTATAGCACACTAGCATTATTCAAACTTTAAAATTCTCTTTCAAAAATTCAATTTTGAAATCAATCTTGTCAACAAATTGTACTAATACAACATAAACTTGTTGATCTTGTCGAGACATTCTGAAATCTGTTAAAGTGAGGTGAAGTATGAACGATACAAAAGTGATGAAATTGTTGTTGATAAAAATATAAATTTTGTGAATCTTTAATTAGTCCATTCCCGCTGAATTATAAATCGGTGAATTGAGAAAAAAGTTGTAAATCAAATACATTTTTGAGGTGAAAAAACAAGAGCCTGGATTTTTAATGTATCCACTATACATTGATACAACATACAAAAAAACTGAAAAAATACATAACTATGACAGATACAGGTCTATGTGGTAATTTTTATGTATCAGATATATTTAGTATAAATTTGAATTTATGTATCATGCTTAACAAATTAGTCCATGATGTATCACTATTTATGTATCTTATTTTGTTTGCGTAAGATTGCATTTTATCAGAAGATACATTATACATGATATTACTATTTATGTATATTCATTCATTGTTGCTTCATTAAGATCTCGAGGGCCTTGATCTGATTCATCATCCTAAATAAGTAGCATGTATTATAAGTCAGAGATACATTAAATTAATAATGTGTCATATGTTATTTGTAGTTTTGATGATTTGACAGACTTAGGGACCTCATAAAGGTACCGGGTTTTCTACTTGAGTATTGCAGGTGTCTTGTTTGAAATATTGCAGATGAAACAAACCCAGGGACCTAGTAGAGGTACCAGGCTCTCATAATGACGAGCCAGTCGACTGCCAGCTGGAGACGGTACAGAAAGTAGGTGCACACTTTCCGATGGCGTCAGAAAGTGTGACTTTTCCAGTCAATGGCAAAGAAGTTTAGGAAAGTGACTTGCCCATATAAAAGACACTTTCCTAAACATTTTTGTTTAGTTTTTGCAACTTGATAAAAACTTTTCAAGAACTCTTGCAAAAGCTAATACAAAGCAAAAATAGAATTATTCCAAGGACAACAGCAACATCTGGAGCTTTTCGTCTAGTTGTTTAGAAATTTATTCTCTTGTTCTTAAATTGTAAACCACTCCTGAATCTATAAAGGAATTGGTGTGTTGTGGTAGAAGTCTAGGTTGTCCAGGTGGGATAGCTAAGTGGGTAGATTGTTTTTCTACTTAGGCATGTTAAGCAATAGAGGATTATTGCTTAACGGTAAGATTGATAACTCTTTCTTACGTTTGGTGTAATCGTGTTTCGCTTTTGCTTTTGAAGATTAGTGAAAACGAATGAAAATCCTGTGAGACAGGTTGTGGTTTTACTCCCTTAAGTAAGGAGGTTTCAACGTAAAATCATTGTGTTGATTTTACTGCATTTAACTTTCTATTTTATTCATTAGTGTAGTAAGGGACCTGGTCCATTATTGTTAAGTAAAGGCATACATTCTATCAAGTGGTATCAGAGCAGACACTATCTATTTGGTTAACACCAAGGAAGTGATATTGCTCTAGAATGACAGCTCCACTTAACCTCGAAGAAGGTCAGTCATCACACAGACCTCCTCGTTTCAATGGACATTTCTACAGTTGGTGGAAAGTTAGAATGCATGACTACCTCATGGCTGAAGACAACGAGTTATGGGATATTGTACTAGATGGATCATTTGTTTCAATGATGGAAGAAAAGGATGGAGAAAAGACCATTACTGTTCCAAAGCCTAGGCAGAAATATGATGATGCTGACAGGAAAAAGATTGAAAAGGGTTTCAAAGCTAAAACTCTTCTGGTCTGTGGGATAGGACCTGATGAGTACAACAAAGTGTCAGCCTGTGAGTCTGCTAAAGAAATTTGGGATTTCTTGAAGATTGCACATAAAGGAACTGAACAAGTCAAAGAATGTAAGATTGACATGCTTACCTCACGATATGAGAACTTCAAAGTGAAGGAAGGAGAAACAATACATGACATGTTCACCAAGTTGTCTTCTATTACAAATAAGTTGTGAAGTCTGAGTGAACCTATAAGCATGACCAAACAAGTCAGGAAAGTGCTTCGGATTCTTCCAAAGTCTTGGGAGAGCAAAGTTGATGCCATTACAGAAGCCAAGGACTTGAAAGTGCTGACTATGGATGCTTTGATTGGTAATCTGAAAACACATGAGATGAATCGAAACTATGATTTGTCAAAGAAGGAAGCCAAGAAGGACAAGTCATTGATGCTAAAGTATAAATTAGATGAAGATTCAAGTGATGATGATGATATGGCATATCTCATCAGTAGATTTCAAAAAATTGTGAGGAAAAACCAAATTTATAAAAGAGGAACAAATGGGACTCGAAATGCTGTTCAAGGTGATACTTGCTACAAGTGTGGAAAATCTGGGCACTTCATCAGAGAGTGTCCTTTGCTCAAGAATGAAAACAAGGAACATCAAAAACACAGGGGTGACAAAGAAAATAGAAGGGACCTGGTACCTGGTAACAGAGATCGTAAAGCTGTTGCTGATATGGTTGTTAAAAGGGCTCTTGCTGCTTAGGGGGAGGGGGTTCTTCAAGTGATTCAGAAGATCCTGATGAGCCAAAAGATGTGTCTATGGTTGCTGTGCATGAGGAGGAAACTGTCTTCAATGAAATGTTTGCTCTCATGGATCACACAGAAAATGAAGAAGAGGAAAATCAGGTAACTCTTCTTGACATGAAAAATGATTTGGATAAATATTCTCTTAAAAAATTGAGAACTTTGGCAAAAGTCATGCTCGATTTTGTAATAGAGTTAACATCTGAAAGAGACACCATGAATGTTGAACTTGAAAGTTTAACTGAAAACAAAGTTAAACTTGAAGAGAAAATGTCAAGAATGGTGTCTCTAGAGTCAAATAACTCTGAACTTAAGAACCAGTTGAATCAGATTACTGAAGAAGCTGAAAAGCTGAATGGAAATTCAAATAGTCTGCAAGCTGAAATTCAAGAAAAATTGAAAAACTCTGAGATAAATCTTAGTCTGTCACTTGAAAAGAGTAACAAATTAGAACAGGATATTGTGAAACTTAAGGAAGAACTTGAAAAATCTCTTAAGTGGACCAAATCCTCAAAGTTACTGTCAAATGCGACAAATCAGAGTAATTTCAATAAGAAAGGACTAGGAAGTCTGAACATAAGTCCTCCTTATAATCCTTACAGTAAGTATGTGTTTGTGTCTGACAATCTGCTGTGTCTTCATTGTGGTAAGAATGGACATTTGAAGAATGAGTGTGTTAGCTGGAGAAACTCGTGTGAAAGGTACTCTAATTATGCTGAAAGACAAAATGTACCAAAAGAGAGACCTGGTCCTACAGAGCCTGTCTCAACTCACAGATTTTCAAAGAAAAAATCTGTTCCTGCTCCTATGTCTTTTGTTAGAAAGCTTCAAAATCTACCATATTGGACCAAGTACAATATAATCACTCCTTTGTCTGCCTACTGGGAACTCAAGCTGAAATGGGTTCCCAAGCTTAACAAGTGACTTTTGGTGCAGGTGAGTGAGAGGAGCAGCAGTCAATGTTGGTATATGGATAGTGGTTGCTCTAAGCATATGACTGATGATGTAAAGAATTTCCTCTCACTCAAGACCCTCCAAGGAGGAGGTGTCTCATTTGGTGATGGCAAAAAGGGGTACACTTTGGGAGTTGTCAAAGTAGGAAGATCTCTTAAAGATTCAATTGACAATGTTTACCATGTGGATGGGTTGAAGTACAGCTTGCTAAGTGTGTCACAAACCTGTGATAAAGGAAATGAGGTCAAGTTTACTTCTGAGAAATGCACTGTGGTGAGTTTAACTACAAACAAAGTAATTCTCACTGCACACAGAAGTAAAAATATGTATGTGGCAAACTTGGAAATGTCTCATGGAGATGACTTAACATGTCTTAGTGCTCAAAACGAAAATGCTGATCTCTGGCATCGTAGGCTGGGACATGTGAGTTCATCTTTATTGAACAAGTTGATTTCTAAGGACCTGGTCCGAGGTTTGCCCAAAATGAAGTTTGCTGAAAATAAAATATGTGAAGCTTGTGTTAAAGGAAAGCAAATCAGATCATCTTTTAAACCCAAGAATCAGGTAACATCATCAAGAACCTTAGAGCTGCTTCATATGGACCTGTGTGGATCCTTGAAGGTTCAAAGCAGAAATGGCAAGAAGTACATTTTGGTGATTGTTGATGACTATTCAAGATACACCTGGATGAGATTTTTGAGATCAAAGGCAGATACAGCTGAAGAGCTGGTGGTATTCTTCAAAATGATTCAAACCAAATTGAATCAAGTTGTTTGCAGCATTCGATCTGATCATGGGACAGAGTTTGAAAACTCAACACTGGATAGATTCTGTATGGAAAATGGTACAAGCCATAATTTCTGTGCTCCAAGAACTCCTCAACAAAATGGAGTAGTGGAAAGAAAGAACAGAACCTTGGTGAACATTGCCAGAACCATGATTATTGAATCAAATCTTCCTCAAAGTTTCTGGGCTG